ACGCACACACACACACACACACACACACACACACACACACACACACACACACACACACACACACACACACACACACACACACACACACTCACACACACACACACACACACACACACACTCACACACACACACACACACACACACACACACACACACACACACACACACACACACACACACACACACATACTCGCACGCACACATAGCTATCAACTCAAACACAGCCTTAATCACGGAATCGAAATTAAAGAGTGTTGTGTAATCGCCCCCCTCCTCCCCGCGGGCGTGTTTCCCTATTCACACACGCCCGTCTGTTTATGCGGAGCTGGGCAGACGCGGGAGAAGTAGCTGCTTTCTCACGCCGTTGCTGTGTCCTGCCCAGACATCAAAGGCGCGTTTGAAGTTGTCATCCGCAGGGAGGAGATCCAGCGGCTCAAGAGCGAGAGGTCACCCTGGTCTCTTGCCCTCCCTAAATGTCTCTCTCTTTCTCTTATTCCTCTCCTCCTCTTTATTAAGCTCATCCTTGGCCTCTTACTTTCACGCAAGCCTCTCCCATACTTTTTTCCCCTTTTCTTTCCTTCCCTACTTACCTCTCACCTCATTCTTTTCATTTTTACCTCTGTTCATTTCCCTTCTCTTTACCCGGCCCTCTTAAATCTTACTCCCTCACTCTTCTCCTTTGCAGTTCTGTCATTTCCCTTTCTCTTCACGTCCTTCACTTGCCCCCTCCTTCATTCCTTATCCCTTTCTCCCCTCACTCCTCTTTTTACTCTTCTCCTCTTCCCTTTGTTTTACACTTTCGTCCTTGTCCCTTTCCTTCGCCTCATACTACCTTTTAATCTCTTCATTTTCTATCTCTCTTGCCTTTCCCTTACACTCATCCTTAGCCCCTTCCTCCCCTCACCTCCTGCCCCTTACTCCTTTCACTCCCCCCCCCCCCCATTCCCCAATCTCTCTCCACGCTTTACAAGAACTCGCGACATATTTTTTTTTTTTTTAGGGTCGTTTTTCCCCTGACCTTTACGCCTCCGTGTTTAGGTGACGCCGCCGCCCACGCCGCCGCCCCTTACGCAACCCCGAGACTCTGCTCCTCGAACTTCAGCCATCGGCATACAATAATCACGTCATCCACAAAGTTGTATTAAATTCTGATTCATGCGTATTGACCGAAGTTCTTACCCGTATCTGAAATTGTTATTTTTCGTAGCATTCGGTGCTGCAACTACCATTGAGAAAATAATGTATTCACAGTGTGCTGCTATTCACTACGGATTTGGAATTATGAGCAACAGCGATTACTGAAATAATGATGGCAAAAGCAACTACAAAGTCCGCTTCACATTAGAACAAGCATCTGCAAATAGTAATGACCAGTAATTATAACAGTAAACAGGGAACAACAATAAACAATGAAGATAGACAGATAACACAGACCAACAGCAAACCATTGTAACAATCAACAAACTATAAAAACAACAAGTACAGTTTACAATGATAACAATCAAGGCACAAATATGAAGTTCATAATCATAATGACCAACAAGCATCGCAACAACAAACATCAACATACAAGATCCAACAACAAGCAAAGTAAATAGACTATAAAACCACAAGCAGCTCCAAGCAACTACAGCAAATAATCAGCCAACAGCAGCCAACAGCAACAAGCAACAGCAACAACCGCGCTACCCCGTGCCTCGCCTCTCCCGACCTGGCTAAACGCCTTATACAATGTATGCAAACTCGAGCCGCTTCCGATTCGCACAAATATTCCTCTTTTGTCGACAAAGGACAATTTTTGTCGCGAAAGGGAGAGACGCCGCGAGGTCAACGCCTTCAGGTGCAAACTGCTCCTTCTTGGCGAATATATGAGGTGCCCGGAGGTAGAAAGGGCAAAGTCACCCAAGTGAGGGAATCCAGTTGTTTTTTTACCACTACAGTGCGTTTCTGCTGCTGTTGTTTCTGGTATTTGAAATCTGCCAGACAATATATAAACGTGTGCTTGATATAAAAAAGGGTATGTATAGTCCCGATAGTTAAATTCCTTCATATTCCATTTCTTTTCTATCGTTCATTTCCCTCCTAAAAACAAACAATACATATATAAAGGTAAGCGAAATTAAATTAAATAACATTCCCCAGTAATTTTCACGTTAGCTGGATTCAGAACTGCGTAGAAGAATGAAGTTAGCGCGGCAGTGCGAGCTGCACACATTATGCTCATAACCGGAACTGCGGTTACTGGCTCTTTCGCAAGTTGCGTTATCTATCAGCGCCGAGTTCGCCAGGGAGCTCCTCTCTCCTGCGCGCCCGGGCTCACTCGGAGCCGCTCTCTTCTCTCTTGCTTTATATGCTGGGGTCATGGGTGTTACTGTCTGTTATTAATCAGGAGTTTTTTTTGTCTATGTCTATTGGTTACGTTTTCTTAGTTTTAAGGGAATTTCTTGTTTTATGTTATATTTTTTCTTTATCTAAAAATATTCTTACTGTTGTTCTTTAGCGTTTGTTGTTTATTTAATATCCTTATTGTCGTTTTGCTATTTTCATCATCATTATATATTTTCATTCAATTCCACTTGTTCAGAATGGAAGGCCTTGTATCTCCATCATAGCATTCAATTAGCAATGTTATTATGTAAAAGAAAGCGAGGGAAGCGAGAGAAGCAAATGTCATACAAGAAAACGCGACTGAAAAGACCTTTGGAACGACGTGGGAGGAGCGTGAGAGGCAAGCTGACGTCTGGAGACCTGCTGTTGACATGGCTTTCACCCCCTCCCCTTCACCCCCCTCCCTCCCTCCCCCTCCCCCCAACCTGACTCTTATCCTCCCCTCGACCTCGACCCGGACCCAAACCTCGCCCCATCGTGCTCACCCCCCCCCCCCCCGCCCCCGACATCCACCGTTCCCCTTCTTGCGCCCTTTACCCCCAATACCAGCCTCCCCAATACCAGCCACCATCCCCACTCCCCCCCCCTTGTACCACCTTGGCGAATACCCACGTCGATTATGGAGTGTCCCGCTTCCTCTTTGTCCTTATATTGCAATCTTTACCGGCCGTTCTTCGGATATGAAGTGTGTGGTGCAGCGCCTTCTCTTCGAAGGCGTTCTCGTCTTGCATCCTCTACTTTATTTTTTTTTCATTCTTCTCTTTCTTCCTTGACCTTCTTTTTTTTCTCTGCACCGCTCTTCTTATTCTTATTCTTCTTCTCCCTCTCCCTTTCCTTCCTTCTCTTCATCCTCTTCCTCCTCCTCCTCCTCTTTCTCCTTCTTCCTCCTCTTCCTCCTTCTCCTTTCTCCTCTTCCTCCTCCTCCCCCCCTCTTCCTATTCTTCCTCCTATTCCTATTCTTCCTCCTCCTCCTCTTCCTCCTCCTCCTCGGAACTCTTACTCTCAAGGACTGGCACTCGAGCACGAGCTGTCAACATATGGCCATACTTGAGTCTCCTTCTTGGCCCCAATTTCTTGACATTATGCCTTTTTCATTATTTTTTGTTTTGTTTTTACCCGTGTCATTTACTGCTCTATGTCTTTTTTTTCTTACTTCGCCTTCTATATAGACATCCGTTAGCAGTGTTTGTTCCTTTTTTCCTTATTCTGCCGTTTCTTATTTTATTTCTCTTTACTTATTAGTTTCCTTGTACTTCCTTATCTTCTACTTCGCCCCCTTCATTACCATCTTCGTCGTTTTTTCTTACTCTTTCTGTTTCCTAAAGCAACCAAAAATAGTTCTCTCTTTCCCTAGACTGTGCACACTAACCTTCACCCCTTCTGACTGTTTACGAGCAAGATTCTGACATTAAGACAAGTCTTCCTTGCTGCTGCGTTTGAAGGGATAAACTTCGGTCCCCAACTGTTATCAGAACATTCGAGTGTTGTCGTGTTTCGCTATATGTAATTTCGAGCTGCGTTTCCATTTAGATGTTTTTCCCATATTGGATTTGTTTTTTTTTCCTTCTACTTGACTAGGGTATAACGTGTGTTAGACATCTTTATTATTTACTCTTCTTTAATTTCCAGTTCATTGCAGTATATTGTGAAAGCGTGTAATTTCGCTTGTTAACTTTCGCAGATTGCCGTACTCGAATAGGTCATTTCTCAGAACCACGTCAACTGAATCAGAAAGCCAGTGAGCATGACCCTTCTTTCAGAATTCAAGACGTGCATTTTGCTGCCTTCGAGTATCAATATTTAGACTCTTTTTTTTACCTCTCGCTTTCTCTCTTTTTTTGACGACTCTTAGTTGATCCAAGATGACACAAATATTTGAACAGTAGTAACAAAACAACCCAAGAATCAATTTATTCGTTTTTTTTTATTACCTTTACCTCCATTGTTACTTTCATGTAATCATATTTCACAAATATTACCGAAGTTACACCTTTCAGATTGATTTGTCTGAATGTTTAATTTAATAATGTCTCAGTAGTAAAGGGTAGTTTTATCATTGTTATGATTACTGCTATTGTCATTTTTGCTATTAGCTAATCATCATTATTATTATCATTGTTATTGTTATAAATTATCGTTGTTGTTGTGATTGTTATCATTAGTATCATTATTTTAACTATTATTGTTGTTGTTATTATTGTTATCGCTATCATTTTATTAATATTATTTTTCCTCTTTTTATTTTAATTGATACTTGTTATCAATATTGTTTTTGTGATCATACTATTATTAATTATGATACTGTCATTCTTGTCACCATCATTTTAATTAATATTTTTATTATTGTCACTTATTGTCATCGTTATTATAATTATCATTAGCATCGATAGTGTTGTTGTTGTTATTGTTATCATTATTATCATCATTACCGTTGTTATTATCAATATTATCAGCATCAGTAACGGCAATATTATTATTATTATCAGAATTATTACCATTATCGTTACCATTATTATTAGTAGTAGTATAGCATAGATTCCTAACAGTACACCTTCAATCCACCAAATGCCCAACAATGGCGATATTTTCCTTAACTGCTGAATCACGTGGTTCGAACGCATCAGCATGTTCGTCATCCTCCTGAACTGCGTCACCCTGGGCATGTATCAGCCCTGCGTCGACGAGGTCTGCAACACCAACCGTTGCAAGATTCTGCAGGTTAGTGCGGACACTTTTCGTTTGATGTTATTCTTAGTTTTTGCAGTGGTATATTGATTGTTGCTTTTTTGTGTGTGTCTATTTCCATATTTTTTTTTTTATTACTAGTGTTCTTGTTTGGTATGACTCATGCTGATTTATGTATTTTGATATATCTGTCTCTCTGTAAAGTCAGAGGGGAGATTCAATTTGGTAATTTTTATTTTGAGATAGATATTGGTACTTTATATTCGTCCCATCGCTTTCTTCTAGTTATTACATGTACTTTATCTTTGATTTTTTTCTCGTACCTTCAATGTGTATATTATTATTTTTAAAAATATATGGTTCTTCCATTTTGCCACAAATGAAACTATACACACCCTTTCTGTCTTTGTCTCTCTCTCTCCTTTCGTGTCTTCCGCTCCCCCACCTTTTTCCTCTCCTCTTTTCTCCTCTCAGCTCATCTCATCTCATATTATCTCATCTCATCTCATCTCCTATCCTATCCTATCCTATGCTATGCTCTCCTCTCGTCTCCTCTCCTCTCCTCTCCTTTCCTCTCCCTCTCCCTCTCTTCTTTCCCTCTCTCCGTCTCCCTCTCCCTCATTTCCCCTCAAAAATCAGGAGTTGAAATTGGTTTCCGTATCTCACTTTTATTTTCTTCATCCTCGCTCTTTCAGCTTTGCATTTTTCCCATTCTTCTCCCCGATAGATCTGGATCTTGAAAGAGGCATTCGCTTTGAAATTCTTTACTGCTTTCCCGCAATATTTTGAAAAAAAAAAACATGGAAGGTGTGTTTGGTTTTCTGCAGTTTTTATTTGTTTGTTGTTTTTGAGTGAGCCACGCTAATGGGAAAGATGATTTATTTGTTGTACGGCTGTGTAGACATATCTATATACATTTAGATGTTTACACAGACTCTTGGCGGATGTGTGGACGCGTGCTGACACTGCTGATGCCTATAAACATATTCACTGACAGAATATGTTAAGGTCGTGAATGATAACGGCCGTGATGGTATTGATTAATGTGTTGTTGAAGGTGAAGGCAAGGGAAAGGCGGTGAGTGTCACTGAATAAGATAGGCGTCATGATTAATGGCGAGAAGGAAATTAAATCTTGCCGATGATGACCGTGAAGTAATAATGAATTACATCATTGTCATTATGCTATAGGAGAAGTAAAAGGCTTTCTTCTAATGATGGTTTGGTCATTATGTAGATATAAACGTCGTAGATTATTGTGGAAATGTCATTTGCAAATATGGCGATAATGGCAGTAATGGTGATAATCCTTATATGGAGATGAATAAACGGATAATTAGATATTTAGAATTGTGTATTGTCATTATGCCTATGGTGATGAAAATTAGGATTGCAATAATGATAATTAAAAGACAAGTTGGCAATAGCAATAATGATGATGATAACGAAAATAATATAGTAATGAAAAACCAATTACGTTATCAGTGTTAAAGAGCCAGAGATTATTGGCCGTCGCCTCTACGCTTTCTTTATGCTAAGAGACTAATAAACTCGCCTTTGTCTTAAGGTTCAATTTAGAAGATTTTTGCTTGTGAATATTTTCTTACGGGAGTTAATTTAAAAGGAGTAGAGAGAGGATGAGAAGGGGAACAGAGAGAGAGAGAGAGAGAGAGAGAGAGAGAGGGGGGGGGGGGATAATGAGAGAGAGAGAGAGAGAGAGAGAGAGAGAGAGAGAGAGAGAGAGGGGGGGGGGGATAATAAATGAATATAAGAGAGACACAAAAAAGCAAAAGGCAGTGATACATTCACGCACATTAAGAAAAAGAGGAAAGCCAGCTGGATATAGAAGAGGATAGGAGGAGGACAGAGAGAAAAGAAAGATAAGATAAATATGCAAAGAGAAGGAAAACTATAATGAGGTAGAGAGAAATGGAAGATCTTAAACGAAAGAAAGAGAGATGCTTGTGTGTGTGTAAGAGAGAGAGAGAGAGAGAAAGAGAGAGAGAGAAAGAGAGAGAGAGAGAGAGAGAGAGAGAGAGAGAGAGAGAGAGAGAGAGAGCGTCTTCCGCACTTCAGCGTCGAAATATTCAAGCCCTCTACTCATTATCACGTGTGACCTTGAAACGGTGTGATTTTTTTTTTTTTTTCCGAATGCTAGATACATTGCTATTTTAAGCCCTTACCTTCCACTTCCCCCGTGTCTGCTATTTTTTCTGCTCTTATTTTCTTCCTCTTTTTTTTTCCTTCTTTCTTTTTTTTTTTTCTTCTTTTTTTTTTTTACTTTACTTTTCGAAAATGTCTGCGAGGTTTTGAGTGAGAGAGCAGTCGCAGGAAATGAAAGGAACTTGGCATGATACAGATCTTCGGCTTCCATTTTGGCCACAGGAAGATACCCACCCCCACCCCAGGCCCACCCCACCCTTTTCTCAAAATCCCCATCACCCCGCCCCCCCCCCCCACCCCCTCCGATTCGTCATTCTGGTCCACTTCATCACGTTCCGATACTCGGGCTATGGGGGGGGGGTGGAGGGTCGGGGGAGGGTGGCGAAAGGAAAGGGAAGGGAAAGGGGGAGGTGGAGGGTTGTGGAGCATTCTCTTCGGGGGAATCTCTACCTCTACCTTATCTCCTCTTTCTAAAGGAAATACTTTGGATAAAAAGGGGGGAAAAAGGGAACAGCCAGGGGAAAGAAAGAGAGAGAGCATCCTCTTAGGGTCGTCAAGGGATGCTCCAGCATCCAGGCGTCCTTCGGGCCGACTTCTTTCTCTTTTATCACTTGAAGAGGTGCTGTGGTTGGAAGGAGGAATGAGGAATATTTTGTGGGAGAGAAGAGACAAACAGACAGACTGACTGACTGACAGACAGAGAGACAAGCAGACAGACGGACAGAGAGAGAGAGAGAGAGAGAGAGAGAGAGAGAGAGAGAGAGAGAGAGAGAGAGAGAGAAAGAGGGGTGGGAGGCAAGCAGACAGACGGACAGACAGAGAGAGAGAGAGAGAGCGGCAAGCAGGCAAGCAGCCGGACAGACAGACAGACAGACAGATAAAGACGGACAGACAGAAAGTAAGATAAACACAGAGAGAGAGGGAGGAGGCACATAAAGAAGGAGAAAGACTAAATGATAATAGAGAATTAGAGACACCGCGACAAACTCTGCGAGCGAGAGGGACCCTCCCCCCGGCACTCAAAAAAAATCTTGACATATATTCAGGTTTGAGCACGGATTTATTGAAGCTGTTATGGGCCATTGGGAGGATATGCACAAGGGAAGACGGATGAAAATTCCCCGGGGTCGATACCGCCTGTCTGTGTAATAGATTAGGGCGGTTTGTGGGGCCGCTGGGGTGTTTGGACAAAGGTTTTGCGTAGGGAAGCAGAGGAACACCTGCACGTCTTGTACAGGCAAAGGATTTATGTTGATATGTATGCATACAATTTCATATATATATATATATATATATATATATATATATATATATATATATATATATATATATATATATATATATATATATATATATATATATATATAATGTGTATATGTATATGTATATGTATTTTATATATATATATATATATATATATATATATATATATATATATATATATATATATATATATATATATATATATATATATATATGTATATATATATATATATATATATATATATATATATATATATATATATATATATATATATATATATATATATATCATATACATGTGTGTGTGTGTGTATATATATGTATATATATACATACATACATACATACATGCATACATACATACATACATATATTCATATTTACATACATATGTATATGTACACACACACACACACGCGCGCCTAGAAAGCAGTGGAAGAGCACAAACTTTCAATATTACTCAGGGAGTCTAGTTTCAATATATGCAACTCTTCAACCATTTTTGAAAGAAAGCAAATTTTCTAGCAGAGCCGATTTCCGCCATGGATCGTACCGGGGAGAATTCTTTAATTGGATCCTAGATCCATAATTGGATCCAGTTACCCACCGCGGTCCCTGGCCCATGGGCAGCCCGCCGATAGATTTTCATTACGGTCTCTCTCAAACTTTCTGCGTAACCCTGTTGAAAAGCTTACAAACCAAAAAAACAACAACATAAAACCGACGAATACATAACCTCTCTTTATGTGTGTAAATACATATGTAGGTGTGTGTGTGTGTGTGTGTGTGTGTGTGAGTGAGTGAGTGTGTGTGTGTTTGTGTGTTTCTAAGTGTATGTCTATAAATCCACATTTTTTCTTCTTCATTTTTCTGTTCATTTTCTCTTGATACATCAGACATGCATTCACTTAAGAGACCTTAAGAGGACTTCAAGTGGATAAACCAGCTAATTAGGCCTGGTGATGAGGTATGCATTGAGGGTGACCCCCTGCCTCCTCCCCTCTCTCTCTCTCTCTCTCTCTCTCTCTCTCTCTCTCTCTCTCTCTCTCTCTCTCTCTCTCTCTCTCTTCTCTCTCTCTCTTTCACTCTCTCTCTCCCTCTTCTCTCTCTCTTCTCTCTCTCTCTTTCACTCTTTCTCTCCCTCCTCTCACTCTCTTTCTCTCTCTCTCTCTCTCTCTCTCTCTCTCTCTCTCTCTCTCTCTCTCTCTCTCTCTCTCTCGCTCTCTCTCTCTCTCTCTCCTCTCCTCTCTCTCTCTTTCACTCTCTCTCTCCCTCTTCTCTCTCTCTTCTCTCTCTCTCTTCCACTCTTTCTCTCCCTCCCTCTCTCTCTCTCTCTCTCCCTCCCTCCCTCCCTCCCTCCCTCCCTCCCTCCCTCCCTCCCTCCTCTCTCCCCCTCTCTCTCCCCCTCTCTCTCCCTCCTCTCTCTCCCTCCTCTCTCTCCCTCTCTCTCCTCTCTCTCCTCTCTCTCTCTCTCTATCTCTCTCTCTCTCTCTCTCTCTCTC